GAGTGCAGGCTTGTCCTGTATCTCTGAGGATATGGAAAGAGAGTAGGGCAGGACTGTGTGTGGAAAACGCCTGCATGTCCAGAACACCAAGACTGTTTTGAGTACTCAGCCTAACTCATGGAGATGAGGATGTTGATGGCTTCCACAGCATCCAGCAAGTGTCATCGTTTTTGACTTCTTATCTGAACAGAAAGAACTTTGGTTTGCAGCTTGAGTGGGTAGAGGGGGTGTTCAGAGAAAACACTGAATGAGGAAGCCCTTTCAAAGTATCATACTAGGGACACTGAGTGAAGGCACACTCTGTAACTGGACGTGTAAGATCCCTGATAATGGGGGGATGAACCTTCAATTAAGATCTCAAAGTTTGTATTGAGGATGTGCAGGCACACACCAAATATTGTGAGTTAGTTCATAGTTCTGCTGAGCTTCTAATTAACATCAGAATGGTGGAGACTAGAAAGAGGTGAGAAATTCAAAGAGACTCAAGATAAAATGTGCCCATATGTATACTTTCCATTTTTCTTCGTTGCCAAAAGAGTATGGGCCTCACTTGCCCATTAAGTGGAAAAGAAAAACACAGACCATACCACATGATATATGTTTGAACAAATCCTCATAGGCAGTGCATCCATACAGAACTGATACATTGGAATATACATCTTCCCTTTGGAATCTGAGCTGTTAAAAGGAAGAAAGCAGGCTGTATGGAGCCTAAAATACTATGGATTTTCTCAGAAAGCATGAAGTTCTGTGACAAGTAAGGCAGGTTAGTAACCTCTAAGGTGCTCCCAAAGATCATGATTTCTGACCTGTAGAGACCTGAGAAACAGTCTACTCTACTAGGCTACTTAATGAAGTAGCTGAAAGAGAGGATGCAGAAGGAGGATGTGAGAGGAGGTAAGAAGATTAAAGCTGAAAAAACATTCCCATTCCTCTAATGCATTTCTCAAACACACACGCAACAGGCAAGGACAGGTGTCCTATCAAGCAAGCCATTTCCCATGAAACTTGACCCACCCTTCTGCAACAGAGGTCTGTTAACCCCATTTGTAATGGAAGGGCCTGCCCTTTTATTCCCAGTGAGGTATTGTTGAGGGCCCAGGGAATCAGCCAGGAAACTGCTTTGCAGAGCCTTGGCCTGGGAACAGACTGTTATGCTTCCTATGTGGCCAACTGGATCTCCTCTACATCTGCCTGCTGATAGCTGACTAGGTTGTTACTGATCAGGAACACTCCTCCTGGCCTTCTTCCTGCCCAGAAACACTAGGAATGATGGCCCTGATTTTAAATCATTCATCACTTCATTGTTCTGCCTTTGATCCCTTAGTAAAACTCAAATTTTACTACTGCAGTCAAACTGGAAGTGATTGTCCAGTGAAGCTTCAGCTAAGGCTTAAGCTTAGGATGCCCAGGGAGGAGACAGCACCAAAGACCAAACTGTTGCTCATTTGTTTTGAAGCCAGGAAGCCTCCCCTGCCATTCGGCCTTTGTGGAGAGCTGGATGCCCAGCTGGGATGTCCTGGGTCCTGCCCACACAGGCTGTTGTGCACATGTTGGCATCAGAACAGAGGGAAAATTGGGCTGCATGGCTGACCGGTGCCCAGCTTTGTACTTCCCCTACTGTTCAGCCTTCTGTCTCCACCCTAGCAGTTGTTAGAAGATGGCAGGGAGAGCCAAAGGGGCTTAAGGAAGCCCAGTGCTTTAGCACTGGGTCGGGAGGTGGATGCCTGGTAGAATGCATGCTCCATGCCTGGATGAGACGTCAATTATAGTAGTCAGGAGCCTAGAGGCATTGTGATGGAGAAGGCTTTCTGGTGCCAGGCTTATTTCATTTGCTTACATCTTTCTTGCAAAATGATCTGCTAGGTTTAAGTAAATTCTTGCTTGAGGCAGTTTTCCTTGGAATGAGGTAAAGAAAGGAGGGGGAAAAACAACTCTTGGTGGAGTAGCTTTGGATTTATTAGACCGTGGAGGAGACTTCTCCTCAGCGCCTGAGGAATTTTCCAAATACTTCTGAAGTACAGTTGCTCACAGCTCACTTTGTGGGGAGCTTCCTGACTTGGCAGGTACAAGGTGCCCCACCTTGAAGGAGGATTAGGGTTGTTGCATTTTTTAAGTGAAATGCTTTTTAAAAAGCAACATTACTAATATTCAGCTGCCTTCCCTGGAGTCCAAATCTTCCTCCACTCTAAAAGAAATTCATTAACTGTTTTAGAGACTAACCAGGTCTGGGCTACATAATTTACAGGGCCCAGTACAAAATGAAAATATAGGATCCTTTGTTCATACGTGACTGAGAATTTAAGATGGGGCTGGAGAAATGGCTCAGTGGTAAAAAGCACATACTACTCTTCCAGAGGACATGAGTTCGGATTCCAGCACCCACATTTGACAGCTCACACCTACCTGTAACTTCAGCTCCAGGACATACAACATACTCTTTTGGCCTCCATGGGTACCTGCATTCATGTACACACACACACACACACACACACACACATACACATACACACACACACACAATTTTAAAAATAAATCTTAAAAAAGACTTGATTATTAAAAAAGGATTCAAAATGGTGATAGCAGAACATTAAACCAAGAATTGACTGCTTTCCAGGTCAGAGATAGTTCACGAAGTTGGTCTTGGGCTCAGCCTTCCAAACTATTCATTCTGAAAGAGGTTAGAGAACATTTGCTGCATTCTAAATATTGTGTGATGGGGTATGTGTGGAGTCCAAAATTAATAGGCTTCCCACTAGGAATTTATAACTTAGAGCCAGATATCACATGCACAAGTTTAAGTAATGATGAAATACACATTTAAAAGCTCAGGAAACCCTGTGTCCACCCCAAAGAAGGACTCCTGGGCTCTCAATTTGACCCATAGGCAACAAGCAGTTCTTCAGCCTTGAAAGTGAAATGGATGAGAACAGTAAACTGGACAGCAATCATTGCTATTACCACACTGCTCAGTAAACAGTACACACTTTTTATGCTACACTTATCAGACTGAGTTCACCTTTTTCATATAATCTTGGGAGTAACCTCCCAAGAAACACTCTATTTGCAAAATAATTGCCCTTGGCCACACTTGAATAAAGTGTTAATGGAACATTTGCACTAGGCTTTTGTCCTCAAGCTCACAACACAGGCCAATCTCAGAGAATTTGGGTTCCTAGGCCTTGGAAACCTGCATCTCGCCTCTAACTTGGGGAACTTAGCTTCCAAGATAATTAATTTGTTCAACATTTACTGTCTACTTGGACCAGGACCCAAGTTAGACTCAGAGGACATATATAAACAAATCTTGGTCCTTGCACCCAAGGAGTATACAGCTTAATGAAATAAAAGGGGCACTGATCCTTCCATTAAAAACAGTGGGTTTTTTCCCTACTTTGGCCTGGGAGCTATTGGAAAGTTCCAATAAGTAGACAGCTTCTTGACCTTGCTGAGTACCTTCATCACTGGTTTCTCCTACACTGACAGTAGTTTGTTTTTGGCTATTATCTCTTGTATGTTTTGAGAAACTTGATTTCTACCCACCCCAGCTGCTTTCTCTGAGTCCAGCGAGAACAATACAAGCAGGTGGAGTCTTGCAGTGACATTGCAGGAAGCCCCATGCTATCAGTCCTCGGAGATGGAGCAGAATTTGGAGTGGTTGGCATTCTGAGAGTGGGTCTCCATGGCTTCCTCAATACTGTCATGAAGAAATGTCTGGGCAAAACATTTTCATCCCTCCTACTTTATATTCCATTAGTTTTATTTCTTCTCTTAAAATAAATCTGGCTACAATCTTGAAAACCAAGTTTCCTGTTCACAATGTGGTTTTGTTGTACAAATGGCCCAGCTTTTAACAGCATCAATGATTTGGCTCATACAAAGAGAGATTTGTGTTTTGGACACATGGATTATTTGGGAAACATCCTGCTATTGCTCCAGATGGGTCTCCATCTTCTCCCAGTTTAAATCCAGTCTTCCTTCCACAAAGCCAAGACAAAAGAAATGGTCATGGGCTATTGGAGGCTGCAGCCTTGTGTCAGGACCTTTGACTCCTCACAAATTCCACACTGGGATGGTGTCCAGCGTCCTAGGAGATCTCTTTGCCTAGCAGAGCCATTAGGGCATCCACAGAGCCCCACCCACAGCCCCAAGGGAAATTTAGTCATTAAAGAGTGTCAATCCTAGGTAGCAGGAGGTGGCATCTTTTTAAAAATAATTTTATTATTTTTATTTTATGTATATGCATGTATTGCCTGCTTGTGTCTAAGTGCACCCGTGGCGTGTAGTGCCCTTGGAGGACAGAAGAGGGTGTCGGATCCCCTGGAACTGGAGTTACGGACAGTTGTTAGTTGCCATTGGGTACTGGGATTTGAACCCAGGTCTTCTGAAAGAATTGCCAGTGTTCTTAACTGCTGAGCTATCTCTCCAGCCCCAGGAGGTGGCATCTTGACTGTCATCACGGTTGGCAGTAAACTGGCAGTTGAAGGGAGTCTCAGGCCTGTCACCTTTCACTGTGGATGTCTGAGAAGAACCCAGGAGGCTGTTCTTATTGATTGAATTCCTAGAAAACATCAGAATTTCTTTTATTGTTTTCTTTGGTCTCCGTTAGCGGAACCTTTTGACAGCTATGATTGGACTTTGGTGCCCTCACCATGACTCAGGACAGCTGAGCATGACCACCAGCTCACTCTCAGGTGTCAGTGTCACAGAAGAAGTGGGTCTGTTGCAGGGGAGGAGGGTCTCCTGGCAGGATTTTCTACACTTCCCCAAGCTTGGGTTTTGTATACACCTCAAGTTGATCTCCATGCAGTGATGAGGGCAATGCAGTTCATCCTTATAAACCCCTAAAAACCATCAGAGGCCAATGAAGGGCTCAGCACCCTCTGATGGTTCCAGAGTGGGTTCTGTAGCTGTTTATTGTGACCTCTAATACCAGCCTTGAGATACCACATTGTTATTCTCTGTCTAGGCCCAACAGTCATCTTCCTGTCTCTCCACAGATCTCCAGGACTTCAAGTTAGATGTGCAACATGTGATTGAAGTTGATGAGGGGAACACGGCTGTCATTGCCTGCCACCTGCCTGAGAGCCACCCAAAAGCCCAGGTCCGGTACAGTGTCAAACAGGAGTGGCTGGAGGCCTCTAGAGGTGAGGAACTGGCAGGAACCCCAAGGCCAGGCCCAGGGGAATTGGCTTCTGACTGCTTTCATTTGTGTCAGCTGTTGCTACCTCCCAGAGCCCACATAATCATGCTGACAGCTCCAACCTCAGGCTGGCCAGCTGTCCTCTACTCTGATATTTAGCCCTAAAGGATGCTAAGGGGGCAGTTTCCATGATGGGGTTTTTCTGTCCTGTCGTGGAGACTTTATTCATCTTGTGAGGCCCTGGAAGGTATTGCCAAGCTAATGCCATTTGATCAGACACTCAGCACATGGCTCCAGATGCTCCCTGTGCAAGCCTTTGCCTCCAGACACATAGAGAAAGGCTGCCCGACAAACCACGCGTTCCCCAGAGCTCGATGTTCCCTCGTGGGAATAGATCTTCTCCACAAGGCAAAGCATTCTTTTGATGGAACTGTATTGCTCTCCCTGTTTTCTGAATCCTGTGGTAATCTCAACTCTCACAGCTTCCTGCTCAGGCTGTAGTAAACATGACAGTTGGCCTAGGGAGGCCAAGCTTTGGTCCACAGAGTACTAATAGGGAGGGGTACATCCAACAAGATGAAGTCAGCCTCCCTCACAAATAATCCTACATGTAAGGACAAGTTGACCTGATTTGACCTGACCCAGCAGCTCAAAATACATACCTTTTATTCTATAGGAGATTTTTTTTTTGGGGGGGGGTATGAAAGGAATATATGTCCATTATAGAAAACTTAAGAGGAAAAATAAAAGCAAGCAGAAACTTAGAAAAAACAGAAAAGCTACTTTTGAAAGAGTAAACACCCTGATCCTACCACTCAGAAATAAGAGAGGAAAAGAGAAAAGAGGAACTATAATCCCTGTGTCCCAGCAGAAGCTTGGCAGCAGCCCTGGGGGAAGCTAACTCCATCTGGCACTTGCCTAAGCAGCTCACACCTGGGTGGCCCAGCAGCAGGCAGGCACCAGGCTTGGTGACACCATGATTCCCAGGAGGGGCCACTAGGGCAAAACTCAGAGCTGACTGATGGTCAGTGCTTTGTATGCCAGGAAACTGAAGGCCACCCCCATCACTGGGCCATCCAGAAGCTGTGAATCTGCTTAACTAACCTGAATATGCTCAAGGCCCCACCCACTACACTCCTAGACCAGGAACAAACAAAGCCTGATAGACCATCAATGCACAAGACAAGGTTTCAGTGGCAGTCATAAAGAGGACTGTAGCTGGAGGTCAGAATATTCCTTTCAATTAGCAGAAATTCAATAGTGAGGTGGCTCAGAGTAGTGACTGTGACAAATGAATGGTGAATGCTAAAGTCAGTTCCGAAGTCATCTCTTCCCATTTGTGTGGCAGGGGCCACTCAGTCCTTAAAGCAGCTGAGTGGCATTTATTATGCCTTTTACAAGTGAGGAAATGGGATCCAAGAGGTTGGTTAACTTGCTTAAGATCATACTATCCTGTAGATCCAGAGCTTGATCTCAAATTGACCTCAAACCCTGCATCCCCCCTACCCTCTCCCTTGAGAGCATAAACTACTTTTCACAGATATGTACTAACTCAATCAGGAGTAGTCAGCCATCTGGCTCAGAAGCCTGAAGGCTAGTTATTTCCTTACTCTGGCACTCTGCCCACTTAGTACAAGGTTTTATGTGGAAAGCGTCATTTTGGGCTTGGTCTGATTCCCTCTGGGACTCATGAACTCAATGGGAGCTTCAGGCTACAATGTTCTGGTTCGGGACTCACCCTATCTTCTTCTTCTTCTTCTGTCCTCTCCACAGACAACTACCTGATCATGCCATCAGGGAATCTCCAAATCGTCAATGCCAGCCAGGAGGATGAGGGCATGTACAAGTGTGCTGCCTATAATCCAGTGACCCAGGAAGTGAAAACCTCTGGTTCTAGCGACAGGCTGCGTGTGCGCCGTAAGGACTAGACTCACTGGCTATAGTGGGATATTGTGGACAGATGCCAGGAAAACTCACGAGGGAGGTGGGGACACCATAGACCAGGCTCAGGATCCATGAACTTGAAGGTAGAGTGGTGGCAGCACCCCAGCCCAGCTTATCATCGTAGCTCAGCACTGTAGAGGACAACTCCTTTCCCCTGCTTGCTCACTGTTACCTGTGATAGGGATGGGTATGCTGAATGGGAAGGTAGAACACAGCAGCTATACCCCTGAGTGATGCCCTTGTGGGTGGACTCTGGGCCTGCCATTCTGCTCCACAGCCCTGAACTGTGCCCACTGTCCACTGCCTCCCTCTGCTGAAATTCTACAGAGGCCCCACAATCTTCCCTATACATGTGCAAACAATAGGATCTCTTTCTGAGCATTCTTCTAATGTCCCCAAATACATTTTCTAGCACAGAGCACCAGGGATGATTTTCTCCAAAGCTAATGAAGCTAAGCTTTACGTCTATAATTTTCTATTCTTTTTCCTAAAGAGTGTCTCTCAAACTGTGTATTTCAGTGTTTATAAAACCCGGATCTGCCCTTGGTTGGCACACAAAGCAAAATCACAGGGTTGGCAAGTTCTTTAGGGTCCCTGAGGAAGGCAAAGCTTCTGCCCTTCAGCCATCCTGTGTAATACCTCCCCTGCATTGAAAAAGATGGCTGCTTCTTCCCTTGAGCTCCTGATAAAGTCCCTGATTTCTGCTTGGGGACCTTGCAATGTAAGGAATGTATATCTTTAAACAGTGGATCCTCTTTAGCTCAATGGAATGCTCACTGTGAGGATTGCTCTGACTTAGACCCTTGGGTGAGTTGGGACCTAGCAGATCCTTGCCTCCATTTCTTTCTTGACCTCAGGGTGCACGGCCTGAAGTTAAGCAGGAAAAACTTCCCCTGCCATTCAGACCATTTCTTTCTTCATACCCTCATATATCTGTCAACACCTAGAGTTAAAAAGCATAAGTCGTATTCTCTGTGGGAGAAAGCCCTTGTTTCTAACAAAAAATTAAGTAACCTGTCCTGCTTTAGACACTTCTAAGCCTCAGAGGGTTGTTTGATCTCAAGTTCATGCTGTCTGGAATCCTCCTGGGCTTGGGCCACTGGAAACAGGTTAGAGGAACCCTGTGTGTCTTGCCCTCCCCTCCTCTCCAGGGTCCACTGCTGAGGCTGCCCGCATCATTTACCCACTTGAGGCCCAGACTGTCATTGTCACCAAAGGTCAGAGTCTCATCTTGGAGTGTGTGGCCAGCGGGATCCCACCACCTCGAGTCACCTGGGCCAAGGATGGGTCCAGCATCACAAGCTACAATAAGACCCGCTTCCTGCTGAGCAACTTGCTCATTGACACTACCAGTGAGGAGGACTCGGGCACCTACCGCTGCATGGCCAATAATGGGGTTGGGGAGCCAGGTGTGGCTGTCATCCTCTACAATGTCCAGGTGTTTGGTAAGCATTTCCATGGACTTTCTCCTTAATACTCTCTCTGGCTGGTCTGACCCTTCTAGAAGCATATAACCTAGGTCATAACCTAGGTTATGTCTGTGAAAGGCCCCAGGGCTGATTGGTGGGGAAGCACACTGGAGAAAGAGGTTATCAGATCATCCCTGGTCTTGGTATGCTTTTAGTTCCTTTTCTAATGTAACTCTGATGGAGGAGACATGAGACTCTCCCCACCTCTACTACTACAGGAAGAACCAAAAGCCAGGGAGGAGGGAGCCACTCTTGACTGTGTCCTCCCAGCCTGTCTAGAAATAGGGGCAGGAAAATGCAGCCCTACTCACCTTGCTCTGGTTTCTCCACAGAACCCCCAGAGGTTACAATGGGGCTATCTCAACTGGTCATCCCATGGGGCCAGAGTGCCAAGCTTACCTGTGAGGTGCGGGGGAACCCTCCACCCTCTGTGCTGTGGCTAAGGAATGCTGTGCCCCTTACCTCCAGCCAGCGCCTCCGGCTGTCTCGCAGGGCCCTGCGTGTGGTCAGTGTGGGGCCTGAGGATGAAGGTGTGTACCAGTGCATGGCTGAGAATGAAGTTGGGAGTGCCCACGCTGTGGTCCAGCTGAGGACTGCAAGGCCAGGTGAGTGTAGGCAGCACAGGGGCCTGAAATTTCAACTGAGTGGGTACACAATCCTTTTGTCAAATAAAAATCCAACCTAGTGACTTTTCACTGTAAGTTCAAAATTTCACTTACTCATGAATGTCAGTTATATAAGTTTTTATTAATGAATATGACCTGTTGGGTGGAATTTTGGTTTGTTTTTGGTTTTGGTTTTTTTTTTTTTTTTAGTCTTTTTGAGACAGAGACTCCCTGTAGGCTCAGCTAGCTGGCCTGGTGCTCACTATGTACACCAGGCTGGCCTTAAGCTCAGAGATCCACCTGCCTCCACCTCCCAAATGCTGGGATTAAAGGTGCGCACCACCATAGCTGGCTGGGTGGAATATTTTTTAATGCATTTATTAGCTTGCAGATTCTGTAGGCTCTCTGGATTCTATAGAACAGAGCTTGACAACCAGGGCTCTAGAATAAAGAAAATTTCTTCTAAGCTCAAGTCATTTCAATTGATACCTGTGACTGAACAATTGTGTGCTCAGCATGGACTGGGTAAGGGAGAGGATACAGAACACGAGAAAGAGCCTCCTTACCTTGAACAAATTTCTGCCAAAGGAAACAAATTTGAGAGAAAAATGACAATGAATAATACAGTGCTGTACCAACAACAACCAGATGCCAGTATTCCTTGGTGAGGGAAGTCAGGGGGAACTGAGCCCAGTGCTGGAAGAGTCCATGGAAGAAATTGTACCCCAAGTTCCCTTGTTGCTCTTGGCTTCTAGATTCTCAGAGAACATTCCCAATTGACTTCATGCCTCCAGTCATCCCGGTGGAGATGGAAAAGACTCACATTATGTGTTAGTGTTAAGATTTCATGGTAAAAGGACATGTCCCCATCCCCAACGTAGAAAGGAGAAAGAAGGTACAGAGTCCCTATGCCTCCAGAGAAAATTGAAATAATTCATTTGTGTTAGTTGTTCATCATTGTAACAAAATACCCAAGGAAAACAACTTAAAAGGAAGACAGGTTTATTTTGGCTCACAGTTTTGGTTTGTCGTGGCAAGGGAGGATATGGTGGAGTGGAACAGCCCACATCATGGAAGCCAGGAAGCAGAATGCTTGCTGCACTAACTGGTTTTATCTTTTCCTCCATTTTACTCCATCTGTGCCCTTGGTGTATAAAAGATGGCACAGGCTATATTCGAGATGGGTCTTCCCCCTTTGTTAATCCTCTCTAGAAATCCTTCGGAGCCAGCTTCACTAATCTCCCAGGTGCTTCTCAATCTAGTCAGTTGATAATCAAGATTAACCATCACAAGTCTGCCCTTTATGAACTAGATACGTAGTCACACCTCTTTAAACCACAATATGACATCTTGGCCCACAAAAGCTCATGGCCATTTAATAATGCAAAATGTATTCAATCCATCTCCAAGAGTCTCCAGAGCCCTAGCAGTTTCAACAGTGTTTAAAAGTCCAAGTTTGGGTACTGGAGAGATGACTCAGGAGTTAAGAGCACCCTGTTCTTGCAGAGGATCCAGGTTCAAGTCCCAGCACCCATATGGGGCTGACAACCATCTGTAACTTTAGTTCCAGGGGATCCAATGCCTTCTTCTGACTTTCCACAGGCATTGCATAACACAGGTTTGCTTCCATATATACAAGCAATACACTCATATACATAAAATAAAAATAATAAAATAAAAGTCCAAGTTCAAAGCTTCTTCTAAGACTCAAGACAAACTCTTAGCTGTCAGCCACAATAAAATAAAATGTAAGTTACGTACAGCCAGACGTGGTAGCACACACATTTAATCCCAGCCCTTGGGAGGCAGAGGCAGGCAGATCTTTGTGAGTTCGAGGCCAGCGTGGTCTACATGGCAAGTTCCAGGAGAGCTGGGGCTAGGGAGACCCTGTCTCTAAAAGACAAAAGTCGAAAAGACAAAAAAAAAAAAAAAAAAAAAAAAGGAAAAAAAAAATCCACATAAAAAAACCAAAGAAAAAAAATAATAACATGAAAAACCAAA